ATAGTATTTCTTGGATGATTTTCTTGTTACTACAAGACTGTGAAGGAATACTTCTTGAAAAAAATTTTCATGATCAAATAAATTAGGAAAACTCTAGGTTTGAACAGAATTCAAGAAATGTCTTTAATGTAGGACCTTTCTGAATTCCTAATGTACTGATGGGCGTGGTAAACCTCCAAGAGCTGGCATTTGCAGAGTTGACTGCGTTCCCCTTTAAAACTGTACCTCATGAGCTCCTTGTTCCAGGGTTATGGTGAATCACAGCTTGGTTCAAAATGAAACACCAATTCTTAGATCTAAGATTACTGTTCCAAATTCACTCTTAGAACAAAATTGTATGAACTGAAGCACAGCATCCATTCTGCTTCCAGTTTTACTCGCTGTGCTCTGAACAGCGTCTGACATGATGGAAGCTCATTGGTAGTTGTTGAATGAAAGATAATTCTTCAATGTGTCCTCCCAGTCACTTCTCAAAATACATGTCCACTAAGTTTCAAAAATAGGATCCATCTACCAAACCAACCACAAATCAAATTAAAACAATTCTCCTGTATATTCAAGGTCTTCATCCAATGGTTCTCTACTGTTAGTGTTCATTCAAATCATTTGGAGAATTAAGGATGTATGTTCCTGGGCCCAGCTTCCTTGATTTTCTGTTGTTGGTAAAGAAATTCAAATGTTTCATACCTCAAAGGAAGCTAATGAAACTGTACTCTGAAAATCACTATCCTAAAAAAAAAAAAAAAAAGGTGGGGTGGGATCACTAAGGTGAAATGTTTCTGGGAAGAATGGTCTTTTAGATCTCCCAGTATGTAAGAAGACAGATAAAGGTTTTGGTTTTTATTTTTTCCTGCTATCATCCTGGAAAACAAAATTAAGAAATATTGGTGAAAGTTAACAAGAAGGTAGGTTTGAAGTTCAACAGCAGGATGAAGGCTCTCTCTCAACGATGGCACAGACTTCCTGGATGTAATGACCTTCTCACCACTATGATGGTCAAGAAGGGGCTGGACATGGTGGAAAATACATGCACAGCTGATGGTGCTGTGTATTAGGTTCACCTGCAGCCCTGAGATTCTGGGACAAGGGCTGAAAACCCCAACACCTTCCTCGAGTGCAAGGCAGCAGGTGTAGGGGGCAGTGGTGAGCTGCAGAGAGCCTGCTCCTCAAGAAGACCCTTCAAAATTTAAAAAGAATCACCCCAGACGTAAAGGTCGGCAGGATTCACTCAGAGAAGTTCACAACTCCTACTTTATGAATTATTTAAAGTTAATAACCGCCTACTCAACTCCTGAATAAGGTGCGACCTGTCAGTTGGGGGAAGTGCATTTTCAGAAAATATTAAGTAGTTGAATTCTGAACGGCTGAAGGAAAGTCCTTGCCAGAGAAACCCTGGCTGGAGTGTGCACGTAGGCATGTAAGTACTTATTTTTCATTATTAAAACCCACCCAGCCATTTGTGCCCTCTCTTGGGGTTTCCCTAGACGCTTTCCTAGATTGCTTTCGAGATTGTTTTCCCATTGGTACTTTCTTATCCAAAGGCGACCTATTACTTTCCAGCTTCACACCGCATGCGCACTACGAGACTGCTCGGACCCTGGAGGCATTCAGACGCAGTCGCCAGAAACACTGGTGTCGAGACTTTGAGTGGAAGGAGCTTCTTCTCCTACTCTCACTCATCTCATGTCACTTTTGTATTAAGAAGAGTTGCTTGGCTCTTCTGGTGTGTGGACTTTGATGAGTCTCTCCAACAAGCATGTTAGAAGCCTGTTGTCTTTCTCCCGAACTCTTGAATCATTCAGTAATTACTAATTAACTTTAGAGAAAGTATTAACCCCTGATTTAGCCAAAGAAGCTAGACAATGTCTGTGTGTTCCAAGTAAGATGAAGGAACTCTTCCTTCCAACACAATTATTTGCCTCCATCCCCATTTCTCAGTGTCCCCAGTGAAGAGTCCCCTCAATGTGGGTCTTCACAGGATCTCCCAGCACTCACTGTTGCTGTTTGAAGGAGTTTCATAAGCAGATCAATTCCCTGTTAGAGATTCAAAACCATAATAACAATTATGTTAAGTTGACAAAGGTGTTTTTGCTCAGAATTCCTGTTTCCATTCACTGAGAGAGGAGGAACCACCACAGTTAAGGCTGAAAATATTTATACTATTTCTTGTTCATATATGATATAGATAGATCACCAAAGAGAATATACAAATGGCCAAAAGGCATAAGAAATAACATTCAACTTCAAAACATCAGGACAATACAAACTAAACCCACAACCATTTCATACCCATCAATGGGAGCAGCTAAAATGAAAAAAGACAGTAACAAGAGTTGGCGAGGGTGTGGAACAACTGGAACTCTCACACACAGCTGGTGAGAGTGTAAATTAGGACAACCACTTTGAAAAGCTATTTGGTAGAATTGACTAAAGCTGAATATACACGTAACCTGTGACCCAGAAACTTCATTCTTAGGTATGTCTCCAACAGAACATGACCGTAAGTTCACCAAGAGGCAGGCACAGGATTGGTGAGCGGCACTCTTTGTAACTGCCCCAAACTGGAAACAATTTGAATGTCCACCAATAATTAAATGGAAACGTGAAATATTCATACAGAGAAATACTATGATGCTTCCTATGCAAAATATTAAAACAAGCAAAATGAAACAATGCCATAAGTTAGAATAGTGGTGACCCCGAGTGGGTAGTGACTGGAAAGGGGACATGGGGATGTTCTGGGGCACTGGTAACGTCTTCTGTGAGCTGGTTGGTGGCTACACCAGTGTGAGCTTTCTGCAAATGCATTAAGCTGTGTGATTTTTGTCTTTTTCCGTGTGTACATTATATTTCAATACATGGTCACAAAATTCCATACAGAGTGGTGTCTCGGCTTCCTGGGCCACAATTATTTCTCGGTTGTGGCTCTCTCCTCTCTCTTGCTTTGTTTTCTTGTTGAGTACAGTCTGGGTGTATGTGTTTTGTAGGGCCATGGGGAGGTGGGTGACGCAATGAGATAAACTCGATCCTCTCCTGGCCCCATGCCACATGGGTCCTGCTGGGACCAGCAAAGGAACAATCAGAGGCAGATGCCTAGAGATGCCAGTGGTCTTAGAAGTCATTTTCCACGTTTCAGGAGAGGACACTGAGGCCTACAGAAATAAAGCTAACAAAGACTACGTTGAACAGTGAGACAGAATCGCAGTTTCATGATTCCTATTTATACCGGCCTTATACATAGGCAGAAGTCATCGCCGATTACCTCTTTTACATTCATCTCAAAGATGGAAATATACTTGTCTCATCCTTATGTGTTAAGTGATCATTTGCTCTCCGTTCAAAATAAAATCTCCTCCCCAGGAGAAATAACGCAACATCTGTTAATAGGAGACAACAGATCACATTTCCTGTCTCTGCAGAGAGTGGAGATGCTGAGAGAGCCACACAGGAGGAGGCCAAGTTTTGGAGGAACTAGAACACAGACACAGCAATCACGCCCTTCGAGAACAGCTATAGCACTTCCCAAAAAGAAGGACTTACTCCGCATCGTCTTAACCCTGCCGCGTCGTCTTAACTCTCGTCATCCCCCCTTTGGAGGTGAGGAAACTGAGATGAAGAGATCAGTCACTTACTACTAGTAAGTCCCGGCGTGAGACTGACCCTGGACAGGCTGCACCTACCCACTGTGCTATGTTTAAGCCACCCTGGGGGGGGGGTGCTCGTGGTCCTTCTGAAGACATTAGGTCACTGGGATAAACGGAAGAGAAGGAGATGGGAACAATGTCCCCGGAAGAGCAGGAGACTCATGACAACAGAAGGGAAACCAAGAGAGACTCACGTCTGTGCAGGCACTCACGTGTGTGTGGCCATGTTATAGTACATAGCATGTACTATAACATGTACTATGTACTATGTACGTTATAGATCCTTTCAGTGGACCAGGCTTAGTTGGGAATGGTCCAATCTTTGTTTCACTCTATACTTTCAAGAGTACACCAAAGAGCATCATAACTCCGAAAGATTTTTGCTAAATTTCAAGCCACAGTATGGGGGGGAAAGGTTAAACAGTAAAGTTTTCATTAGACAGGAACACGGGAGTCTACATTTGCTGGCACCCAAGCCACTCTGGCTTTGTGTTGTGATGTATTAAATACCATGGACGTTGCTAACCACCTGCTCAACTGAGCTTTCTCACAGCCTCCTCCTAGTCGTCCCAGAGCGTGACCACCATGTGCCCCAACACACGGCCACACACACGCACCTGTCAGTGCCAGGCACTTCCCAATGGCTGCACAGAACAGATCAGCCTCACAGGCCACCGACGCCTCATGTATCTGATTGAATTCTGAGACTATCAATGACACCAGCATTCTTGGCCCGGAGCTCAATGGAGGAGGAACACACGGAGGGGAAAGAACACTTGTCCCCAATTCCTCTAAGTGTTCTGCTTCCCTGGATGGCACCCTGCACCCTGCCAGCCTGCAAACACACCACACTCCACAGGGACATCGTACATGAACAGGACAACACGAACAGATCAGTTCAAAGAAAACAAAAAGCCGCCCTTCTTCAGTGAAGGTTGGGCTTAACAGGGCTGCTGAATGCAATTCTGCCATGGAAATACAGTTTTCCCGTTTCAAAGCAACGTAGAGGCATGCAGCTTGTGAGATTTATATAAGGCCTGGTCTCTCAGGACTTTACAATGCGAATGACATCCATCAAATTAATTTCCTTGGGGATCGTCTCAAACACGGGGAATGAAGAGGCCCAGACCATTAAACATCAAAAGAATGTTCTAAATGGTAGTTAAAGTTCTATTATATTTTCTTTTTCTGGGAGCAGATTAGATTAATTCAATTGAGAATATTATAAGTATCAAAGCTGACAGTGTGAATGGGTCGAGTTGGCTGGAAGAGCTTTCAATATTGCAGACATCTGTTCATCCGAGTTACACCAAGTGCACGCCCAGGGGGCACTGCCTCTGAGAGCAGGGTACTTACCAAGCCAGCACAAGTCGACACGGCGACGGAGGAGGAGCTGTCGTTTCGGATAAATCCCTGATAGAAACATTGCTGCACCCTGGGTCCCCGAGTCTCTGAAGCACCATCTTTGCCAAGTACCTGGACAATAAAGTGACTGCTCAAAATCGCCGAGGGCTTAAGTTCTAAGTGGAGTTCCCGTCCAAACGCTGAAAACCGGTAATGCAGGGAGCTGCCGGCACCCAGCGCAGATCGCTTTCTCCTGCCGCCGCGCAAAATGTCGTGGGAAATGTATGACCCGCCCGCGTCCACTTCTACCGGTGTGACAAAGACGTAATCTGTAAGGGGAAAGGTGTAGTGGTCAGCGTCCCAGGCCCCCAATGCCAGCCGGTCACTCCCAATGGGCTGGCAGAGTGACACTCGGCTCAAGGACATCTTTGTTCCCACGGCCACCAGGCAAGGCAAAACGCAGTTCGGAGCAGCTCACGAAAAGGAGAAGCCTTTCCCACAAGCTCTGCCCCAGTAATTCCTACAAAAGCTGAAAGTCAAGCATGATCTTGATGAATGTCAAGAATGTTTACAGAAAAGGCCACACACTCCCAGTCTGGGGGGAGATAGATGGACTTTTTATACATTAGCCATAGAGCCACTCATCCATAAAAATTAATTTTGGGGAGACAAAATTAATAAATACAAAATCACCAAAGTAGAGACATGAATTTTTTTTTTTTAAGAAAAAAAAGATTACTCTCTTTGGGTTTAACCTGAATTGGGAACATTTTGGGTGAGGGCAGAATTTAAATCTCAAATGGTAACTCGCAGAGCTGAATACATGGAGAGGGTACCTTGGAAAATTAACAGTGACTGCAGGTTCCAATTTCCGATATTCACGATACACAACAACAAAACTCCAGAACTTGGAGCACCCTTAACCTTCTACCACACACTTTCATGGGGACGGTCCCATCCAACTGTAAGCACGGGACACAGTGGATGCATAAAAATGCCTCGACACTGTCAGAACTTCCCCTACACGGTCTGATGTTTAAAACTGCTCAGACATGTTGCCAGAGCAGGGACACCTGGAGAGGCATGTTTAGAAATACCTTCGCCTCGGCTCCCCAGAGCAGGACTAATTGCTGCATGTTGCAGAGAGGAGGAGCTACAGAACAATTTGCTGCCTGAAAAACTGAAGCCAGCACACTGCTTTCTATCAGCAAACATTGAAACTGAAAAGGATCATCCCCCAAAGTGATCTGGAATATGCCCTCGGTGCATTCAAAAACGCTCTGCATTTCCACTTTCAAGGCACAGGATGGGGAACTAACTTGGAAAGTGTTTAGAAAGATTCCGAACAACGAGGAGGCGTGTTCGAGTCGCTTGGGCCCTTGGTTACAGGAGAAGAAAAAGAAAGAGGAATTTCTCTTTTCCCAAAATAGTCAACAACCCCCAAAATAAAACAAAGATGAAGAAGCCCTGTCACTAACAGGGGATCAGTAAGTATTATTTACCTTTACCAAAAAAAAATCCCAGTATGACAATTTTGAGATGTTTTTCCCTGCGTGACCATCTGTGGCTCTTGCTGCCTGAGCAACCCTCGTTCTTACAGCTCTTGTGTGTCCCGCCTCTTTCATTCCCTCTTTGACCCCTTCAACTGGAAATACCATTGAATTAAAATACATATGAAAAAGGTGGGCAGCAAGTGTTTCTCCTCTTAACCTTAAGAAACATCAGGTGTACACTATCTTCTTCTAAAAACCCTTAGTGTGATGCTTTACAGGTACGTGGCTTTTGATTAAATGCAGCTTTTCCTCAGCGAGAAACCACTTTCTCCCTTATTAAAAACTGCGACCCCCCCCCAACACAGGCACCAGAGCCTCTCCCTAAGTTGTTTCTTACCTCCTTGTCCAGAACCATCTGAAACCATGCTCCTAGTTGGGAGACCACGTGGGAGTCTTAACCAGCAGCTTTAACGGTATCAGCCCGAAAAGCCAACCCCCCCAACCCATCCACCTGCTACTAGCTTGTTTCCAAGGTAAGAAAGAGCAGGTGGATGGTAATCCTCAGCCCTCGATGGGTAGAGGGTCAATGTAGAGAACGTTCTGATCAATCAGCTCAGGGGCTGACTGAAGACGAGGTTCTCACCAGGTCGTGGCTGGAACAGAGCTGGCCCACAGCCATTTGACCCAGATGGGACAGTGGGAAGTTGTTTCAGAAACTGCAGCCAGCCTTTCTGGTTGGACAAAAGGTGAATTTCTCAAGAGCTCATTCCTGACTCTTTCCTGTTCCCTCACTCACCCACCCCCCAGCACAGCCCCTCTCCACGCTTGGCCACTGTCCCGTCCCCAGTCTGTTCCCTTGTCCCCTGAAATGAGGAGAAACCCTGCAAGGCGAAATATGAGAGAATCCACCCCAAGGTCTTGCTGGACACCTTGGATCAAGCACCAGCTGTTCTGTAGCTGGTGAGAACAAGCAAAGTAGGATTTTCCTTCTGGAGGCCACCAAGAAGCTAATAAACGACAGGAGTGAAGGGTGCTGGGGAGGTTTCTGCTGGGGAACCTCCGAAGAGATAAAGACCCCGGAGACCTCAAGCTATCTGCTTTCCTCTCTCCAGCAGTGGCCTTTGGGAATCCGAGACACAGGGGCAAAGACTCAGGGAGAAGGGAGGAAAGGGGGATGGGAACAGGAGTGGAGAGGGAGGAGGAAAGGTGGGAGAGTGAGAAGGTTTCACACGCTTTCATCCCTCACCAAGAACTAGTTCCTGCCTGGCTTTCTTAGCAGAGGAAGGAAAGGAGGAAGGTGCCTTTGATATCAACCGCCTAGTCCACCTCCACTTCCTTTCTAATTTCTCACCGCAGTACAATTTAATTTTTAAACAAGCCATCTGTGAACAAGGGAAAGTATTGTTTTCTCATTTATGTGACTCAAAGCTTGAGGCATTGATTCTTTTGATAAGTTCAGAGCCCTTGCCATATACCCCCCTCTCCAAACAGGAACCATTTCCAAGACTCACACACACCTGCAACTTTGGGGCCGGGGGTGGGGTGCGGGGGACGAGCTTTTCTACCTTTTCCCTCTTTTGTCGGACGGGGGAAGAAGGGGCAAAGTGCTCAGACAGACCCTTCGGAGGGTGGGAAGGTCAAATACGAACCGTCGTTTAATCCGCTGCCGCCGCCGCTGCTGTCACTGGCTAAGACCGAGGAGACCGACGCACAGCAGAGGCAGCACAGCTGGAGCGCCTGCAAGAGAAAAGGTGACATCGTCCGTGAGGGGCGCGGCGGAGCTTGCACCGGGCGCCCCTGCCACCCACTCTTGGCGCGCCCCTCCGCGGGCACCTGCCTTGGCCACGCGCCCCAGTCCCGCCGAAGCCCACGGCGGGCCCGAGCCGGCGGCGGGGAGGGCGCACGCGAGCAGGAGGGCGCACTCCATGGTCAGGTGCGGGTGCGGCGGCTGCGGAAGGCGCACATTCTCCCCGCCGCCCCGGAGCGCGGCGCTCCAGGTGCGGCGCCAGGTGGGAGCCGCCGCCGCTCACATCGCGGGCCCGGCGCGCCGAGGCCTCCCCGCCTCCGACCGCCCGCGCGCCCTCCTTCTGCCGGCGCCGGCTGCGGAGCTGCCGCCTGCGGCTCCCCGCGGGGCACAGGGGGCTCCCCGGGCCGGGGCTGGCGCGCGCCTCGGAGCGCAAACGGCCGGGGGACTTTGTCCGTGCCTGCCCGCGCGCTTGCCCGCCTGTCTGTGTGTCTGTCTGGGTCTGTGCGAGCGTCTGAGGCTCCCGGGGAAAGCAGCGCCAGCTGGCTCCCCCAGCGCGCCGGAGCCGAGCGCCCGCCTCTCCACCGCACGGTGATTGGCGACCAGCGGCTCCTGGGCCCGTCCGAGCCCCCGGGCTGGTGCAAGGGCGTGGGATTCCCGGCTCCCACTCCGAGGGAGGGGGCGAAGAGGGAGGGGAGGCTGGGTAAGCTCGAGGGGGAGGGAGGGACCCACCGCCGAGAGAGGGAGCGGAGCGCCCTGGGTCAGACTTGGAAAACGTAATTTAAGCGCAGGAAGAGATGAGCCGAGAAAGGGGGAGGCGCAGGTAAGTGGCCCGACTCCTTTGCTGCCCGTGGAGGCTTCTCTTTTAAGTCTTCCGGGTGGCGAAACAGACAAGGTACCGAGCATTCTCAACACCTCCCGAGGGCCAGGCGCCACCCCCTGCTTTATCTCATTTACCTTGGGCCCTATCCTTGCAAAGGTGGGAATCATTTAACCCCTTGATGAAGATGAAGAAAATGGACTCCGGTGTGCTCAACTTAGCCTACCATAAATAATTCTGAAACCCCCAAATCCAGGGCGACCTAGAGGGTTGAAACTGCGAGCCTCCTCGCCATCTGCAGCGAGGCTGATGGAGACTAGAATGAGAACACGAGGGATGTCTTTTCGTGAAGTTACACACCCGAACTTTGTGTGTCATTACCCAGTGTTATCCTAATCCATTTGAAAGAAAAATAAAACACACAGCCAGTGGGCCATGGCCTTGCCTCTTCTCCTGGATCTTTCTTTCTCTCTTCTCCAAGGCACCATGCTTCCAAGTCCTGAAGATTGAGCCCTGGCCCCGGATCCCGCCATTCTGCAGAAATCAGCCGTAATAAACAGGGCGGCCATCACCACGGCTGTGCATCCCATTTGCTGTGCCCCTGTTCACTTACTCAATACTTTTCTTTGATCCCTACTGTCTGCAGTGATAAATAGAATATATTCTCACAGGCTAGTGGGAAAGACTCGCATTGGATAACTCAACAACAGTACTGAAACCTAAATGATCACAAATACTCCAAAGGAAAAGCACAGGCTACTAAATCAGAAAGGGTAGCAGTGGGATCAAATTTAGTTGGGAGGCGAGCAGGGGAGTGGAGAATAGGAGTGTGTGTGGGTGTAAGATGCCTCCGAAGAGCTGGCTTTTCAAAGGAGACCAAACAGAGTGGGTCAGCTTTATAAGGAGAAAAGGAGAAAGGTCCCTAGTGTCAGGAGAGGGGGCACAGGACAGGTGAAGGTGTTGAAACAGGAAAAGGGCTTTGCTGTAACAGAAAGGTTACAGGCAGGAGAGAGACAGGAACAGGTTCAGGTAAACAGGACCTTGTAGGCTGGGGCGAAGCAGGTGGGAGTTAGATTTAAGGTGCGTGTGGCCGTGCGTGTGGGTGTGTGTGTGAGAGAGAAAGCGGGGGGAGAGAGAAAGAGAGAAGCGGGCAACCTGTCTGCAATGGAAATGATGTGGATTGTGTGTGGGATTGGGATTGCAGGTGCTGAGCAGAGGGCACCCCTAAGGAAGCTGTTGCTAGGATTTGGGTGAGCATCGCTGGACCCCTGGACCAGGGTGCTGGCAGGGGAGTGGGCATACACCCTGCTCCAGGTTTGAGGACACAGAGGTGGTTCAGATGAGGTCCATCGCAGGTTTGAGGACACAGAGGTGGTTCAGATGAGGTCCATGTCACAGCTTAGAACAAGTGACAGCCCCCTGTGTAGGGTCTGTTTCCTTGGCTACAGCAGTAAAGGGGTAAACCTGGACTGTGGAGGCAGACACAACTTCCGCCCAGGGCAAAGCTTTTTAGAATGACCTCAGGAGAGGACGTCCAGGTTAAACAAAAACCCTTAGCTTTGCCTATGTAATCTGTTTAAGCTCGGTGACCTCTATTTTATAATCTGTAAAATAGGAATAAAAGTAATACATCAAAAGACTATCCCAAGGATTAAATGAGTGCATTATACTGTTCTGAGCTTTATAAGCGGGACTGCAAGGTCAGAAGAGAGGACGCCTGCAATTCTGTTACTTTACGGATCTTATGTCAAACTTTAATGTGCATGGAAATCACCTGTGCCTCTGGCTGCACATGCAGACCCCTGAACCTCGAGCCATGGAAATTCTGATGCCGTAGATTTGGTGCAGGCCCCAAATGTGCATTTGCAGCAACACCTGTGGGTGATTCTGACACAGGCGACAACAGTGCTTCATGTGATTTCAATAACTAACTGGACACTAAGGAAACTGGACGTTAAGGACATGCAGCAAAGACAGTGCTTAAAAGTCATGTCACCAAGCAACAGATGAGATTTTAAAGAAGGAGACTGGGGTGGAGAGCATTGAATGATACTGCTGGATAAACACGGAAGGAGATGGGAGGGGTGAATGGTCTGTTCACGGGCCACTGAGAGTGGCCATGTCCCTCATTTGCATCTCTCCACTGAGATACATTTGTATGAAGTCATCCATACCCCTTGGGTCTCCATGTTTTGCAGCCAGTAATAGAGGTTACTCGCCATGGTGATGTCCAGAGTCTCAGAGACCCAGTCTTACCACGCCCTGTGCCCGACTGTGGTGATTTTCAGCCTTAAGCACCAATGACATTTGGGGCTGGATTGTCCCTTTGTGCTGGGGCTGTCCTGTGCCTTGTAGGGTGTTTAGCAGCATCTCTTGCCTCTCCCTTCCAGATGCCAGCAGCAACCCCACAACCGTGACAAAATGTGACATGGCCCGATGTCCCAGAGAGCAAAATCACCCCTGGTGAGAACCTGGACGCACAGTGTGGATTCCAGTCCCATTGTGTGGCCTTTGTCTCCATCAGCCTGGAGCCTCATAGCCTCTCATTCAACTGAATAAATACTTGTTGAGTGCTAATGCTTTGAGGGACAGGCGGCCTCCTCTGGACCCAATGGTATCAGAGCCCCAACCCCAATGGATTTTGCAGCTCTTCTGCCACACACATCAGTAAACCTCTGCACTTGGCAGCTCCCAGCCCTCCACTGTTTGGTATAGGAACCAAGACCCATTTCTCACAGATTAGTAGATCTCGAGATCAAAACTTCCTGTTCCGTTCCTCTGCAGTTGACCAGGTCTAATTTCTTCTACAGGACCCATACACAGGCACGGCAAAGATCACTTCTGGAATGACTTCAAACCTTTAATGTTGCAGGAACTGGCCCTGCAATATGTATAAATTGTCTCTAGATGGTGACAGAGAGTCATGAGCAAATGGTCCAGTCTTTCAGTTATGAATTGCAAATTCTAAGTTACTTGGAAATATAAATCTTAGCTGATTTTAAAACTGTAAATCTAGGACACTAAAAAGAAGAGCTAAAGTTCACAGTAATCTGTCTTAGTCCATGCAGGCTGCTATAACAAATACCATAGACCGGGGGCCATATAAATAACAGAAAGGTATTTTTCAGAGTTCGGCAGGCTGGGGTTCCAACAGCAAGGTTCCTGCAGGTAGCTGTGAGGTGAGAGCCTGCTTCCCCGCTCACAGACAGCCTCCTTCTCACTGTGTCTCACGTGGTGGAAGGCACCAGGATGCCCACTCTCTGAGTCTCTTTTATAAGGTCCCATTTGCGGTGGCTCAGCCCCGAATACCATCAGGTTGGGGAGTATGTCTCAATACAGCAATGCAGGGGGGAGGGGCACAAATATTCAATCCACTGCATAAGCCAATGAGGAAAAAAAATCCTGTTGTACTCCATTCTGTCAAACACCGCCCAGAGCCTGGCACACAGCAGGCACTGGGTAAATATTTACTGGAAAGAAGGAAGGGAGGGAGAAGGGAGGAAGCCATGGAAGGAAGGAAACAGGAAGTTGAGAGCGATCACACGACTCACTCTTAACTGCGTAAAAAGAAATTTCCCTTTCCCCCTCTAAAATCAATGGTATATTGGTTTTTCTTCTTTTTACACTGACATCAGTTTAACCATTTTTTTTCTCAAAATAATATGCCTTAAGTTACATATGTCCTCCTGGCCACAGCAAGAAATAAAGGGCAGTTCCCCTGCCCTTCATTCTCTTCTCCCTTGGTCTCTGCTCCGTGAAGACACTGGGCGCCTCCTCCAGGGAGACGGAGCGGCGCTCAGCCGCTGTCCCGCCTCGGCCCAGAGTCCGCCGGACACCCAGCAGCCTGTGTGCTCTCCGCTCCTGCCCACGCCGGGAGCAGGGGGTCACTGCCTTGGCACCGGGGGTGCTAACACTGCACTGAATGACGTGTCAGAGCTTAGCCTACTCCTGACAGTGTCCCCTGGAAATCAGTCTCATGTCCACAGAGAAAGACGGCCGAAGCCACGCACCCAAACCGAGCACAGGGAACATAGAGACAGGACACGAGGCTTAACTTATTTCAACCTGGGAGCCGAAAGAGAACGATACAGAGAAGGAAAGGCACCGATGTCCTCGAAGGGACCCCTGAGAAGGAAGGGCTGCCTTCTGGCCACCGGCTCAGAAGCAGGTGCAGCACACTGCTCAAGATCAGTGCGGGGGCGGGGGGTGAGGGGTGACAGAGCAGCGGCCCCGAATGTTTTCTTCTTTAGAGATAATCGTTCAGAAAGATGTTTGCTTTACCACACAAAATAGGGCAAACCCCTGCCAAGGAACAGGCAGCAACGTGTGTTGTCTGTTTGTCCGTGACAACAGGGGAAGCAGAACCTCTTAACAACTGGCTTTGGAAATACTCTCACCAAACACAACTTAGGAACCGCCAGCTGTTCTCCTCCCTGGCATTTTACTCAGCCCTTCATGGC